ATTTTATGTAGTGAAAGTAATAAATTTAAAACGAACTTTTTTGGAAATGGTTTGTATTAGCAAAAGTGATAATAATTTAAACAAAAGGTCAGAAATTTAAAATCTAAGCAAAATTTATAATCATATTATTTCTATGTAGTTTATATAAGCAATCACATTTTGAATTTTCCATGTATTTGTTACATTTTTTCAGGCATCTATCAATGGTGAATAAATCTTCTTTTTTGTTACTAAACAAAAAATAATTTTTTAAACAAAATTTTATTTTTGACAATATGTCAAAAATAAAAATTTTTAAGTTGATATTTATGACATTGAGGCTTATTTGTAGCTAGTCAATTTTTGTTTACAAATTCAATTGTTTTTGTTAAGAAACTTTGTCAAAATTTATTTCAGAGAAACATTTATTAGAATAGGATATTTTTGTAATATTTTTTGTATTAAGATGTTAGCAGCAGTTTTTTATATAAAAAACTAATTTTATTTGGTGATTTAACAAAAAAAAAAATTATTTCTAGTTCAACTTTGTAAGATATTTTGTATTTTTTAGAAGCTCTTGATAATAATTGTAATTACAATTGAAAGCTCGAGTAAAAAATAGTCAACAAATAGCCCCTTTTATTGACTCCAACCCATCCAAAACAGTTATATATATATATATATATATATATATATATATATATATATATATATATATATATATATATATTATATATATAATATTATAATATAAATATTATAAGGTAGTCCAAAATAAGAAAAAAGTATTTACATATATATATATATATATATATATATATATATATATATATATATATATATATACATATTTGCAATTTATAAATAATACATATCATACAACATATCATTTCAAGGATCCGTGCTGGCTCCCATGCTTTTCAGCCTCTACATAGCCATGCCAGAAACCACATCAAAAATGTTTGGATACGCAGACGACTGGACGCTTGCCGCAAGTCATAAAGAATTCGAGGTCACTGAACGCATTCTAACAAACGACTTAAATGCCATAGGGAATTATTTCCGCAAATGGAGATTGCAACCCAATCCAACTAAGACAGAAGTGCCCTGTTTCCATTTGAACAACAAGATGGCCAACTCTCAACCTCAAATCCATTTTGAGGATAGACTCCTTAACTATAATAATCACCCAAAATACTTAGGTGTTACACTTGACAGAACGCTAAACTTTAAAGAGCATCTTACTTAGACTGCTGCAAAACTCCGAACTCGTAACAACATCCTGCAAAAGCTCTGCGGCACTACATGGAGCTCCTCAGCACCCACACTTAGATCGACAGCATTAGGACTGGTATACCCCGTAGAGGAATACTGTGCACCAGTATGAGTGTGAATATATAGCTTTGAGTCATATAGCTCCACCACCCATCCGCCGTGAACATGCCCTTGTCAGAGAATTTACAAAAATCAATACTGATCCTGAGCTCCGCTTCCATGCCGGAACTTCCTCCAGAGACATAAATAGGCTCCGTTCAAGACCAACACCCGCCTCTAAAAACAGCAAAAAGGCTAATAGATCAAAACTTTAATGTAACTGAGCGGTGGAGAGAATAATGGGAGAATAACGCTGCACCAGCTAACTGGAACATGCCATGTATTACAAGCAAACCTGAGGGCTTTAACCAACCGAGACGAATTTGGGCCACACTCAATAGAGTAAGGACTAACTGTGGCAGATGTTCCGACTCACTTTTTAGATGGGGAAAAATACAATCACCAAATTGCGACTGCGGCGCCGAAAAGCAAACAGTAAATACATGGTAGAGGAATGCCTGATTAGATCCTATAACGGCAACCCTTCGGATTACCTGGTTGCAAAAAAAGAGTCAATCGAATATATTTATAATCTATATATATATATATATTATATATATATATATATATATATATATATATATATATATATTATATATATATATAGATATTATATACATATATATATACATATATATATATATATATTATATATATATATATATATATATATATATATATATTATATATACAGTGGAACCTCGATTATCCGTCAGGGCACCGGACCAAGGGTATGACGGATAATCGAAAAGACGGTTAACAGAACATTAAACAAAATTCATAGTGTAGCTCTCAAATTTTGTTTGTATGTTTTATTTGACAACATAAGAGAGATTTATGTTAGTACAATCGAATCAATTTGATTTAAATTATTCCGAAATCTTTGTATTATTGTTACTTAACATTTTGCAATGGCTCAATTTCTTAATCGATGTAAAATCATTAAATCTACCTTATTTGCTTCTTCTTGCCGAGAATACCACTTATGAGTTGTTGTATGTGCGATGCAGCTCCTCTAGCTTCTTTGGGCAAATTATTGTGATTTGTAATAGTATCATCAACATCTCACCACCATCAAAGTCGGCTTCTGAATCAGTTTCTTCCGCCTCTGTTGCAATTTCAACGATTTTATCGTCGGTCATCAATCGATAGCCGTTTGCGTCCTCATCAACGAAAACAAAACAGTTGATTTAGCCATAACTTCATTTAAGGGGAGCATTTTCATCATAGTTGATTCAAGCCATATTGCAGGCTGTTTTCAGCATTACTTCCGAAACATCAGCCCAAGCATTCACAGCATTGTCGATTGCGTGTTTTAAATTGTATGCTTTTTAGCATTCTGGCAAAGAATATTACTCTTCCATAACTAGGTTTTGAATAAATTTTTTCTTGTATGTTCTTTTGAATGTGTTAATGACCGAATGATCGATTGGTTGTATCAATGATGCATTTGCAGGCAGAAAAGAGTACTTGATATTTTTATCGTCACTCCGCAGCATACCGGTTTTAGGATGGCCAGGTGCATTGTCCGAAATGAGAATTGTCTTTGGTGGAAATTTTTTGCAATCAAAATGAATTGATGACTAAATTTTTACTTATGTTGTCAATATAACTTATGTATGAACCCTGACGGTTAACAGAGGTGACGGTTAATAGAGAGACGGATAATCGAGGTTGTACTGTATATATATATATATATATATATATATATATATATATATATATATGTATGTATATATATATGTATATGAACCTGTGATGTAGCCATACGCTAAAAAATAAAATATCATTTATACATATCATTATTATTATGTAAATTCAGAACTTCTTTTGGAAAAATAACGTAGCAATATGATTTTCTGGTTTTAAGGAAATTTATAGTATGCAGATGACCCACGATACTAACTGACGAAAGTTTATTTCTTTCATCAGTTTTCATTCAATTTATGTCGGAAAATACTCTTTCCACATTCGCTGATGAATGAGGTAAAACTAACAAATTAAAAACAAATCTGCTTAAAACCGGAAATATGGAGGTCCATCGCCATACCGCATATTTTCAATATTTGTCCAAAAGTGTTCAATATCTACATTTTCATCGGAATCGAGTATAAGTATTTCTAAGAAGCCGCCACTCATTATCCAAAAGTTACAATTCATTTTCTGATACTAAATTTGGGAAATTTCTGGCAAGAGGTACTATACTGTGACTTTTTTTCTCTAATACATTTTTTACGCTTATTAAATTTATATTGATTAGAACAGGATCGTCAAAATCAAACCTTTGGATAATTTGTTTAGCAGCTTCTATAAAAAATTCCACACACCGCATTCTAAAAATATGTCTATCTGATTCATTTAGTTTTTCAGTTGGACTTTAGCTGAACATGATAATTGGACTTTAGCTCCTAAATATAATTCATCCAGAGAGACAATATTATTTGGATTGTTGAAATCTATTTGGTGAAGTTCAGTCTTTATCAATATATCTCTTTTTATAAAGCATTCCAAAAAGGATTTATAAACAGCACTGACACATTTATATAATTGTGCAACCTCTGGTTTTTCAGATTGCATCTGCCGGTTTAAATTTGTGAAAGATGGTAAAGAAAATTCTAGGAATTCTAGATATATTTTTGTGAATTGATCATTTAACTTAACCAAGATATTTTCTGAGGCCAACGTCCGGTCATTTAAAGAAGCATTCGTGAAGTACAAAATTAATGCACCATATTGCTCTAGAATTCTAGAAACAACGGATTCAACGGAGAGCCATCTTGGCTGTGCAGGATGTAACATTTTATTTATTTTTACATTGCAAAAATGTTGGAATTCTTTTAAAGTTTTAACTCTTTTTGGACTGTTGGAGAAATAAGTGTATATGTCACGTGTCACATCTTCAATACCTCTAGGTAATTTTAAACACGCATAGGAAGCGCATAAGTGAAAACTGTGACATATACACTTTATTACATAATCATTTGGTACATCCGCTTTTAACCTGGCCACAACTGAATTATGCTTACCGACCATAACATTGCCTCCATCAAATGCAAATCCTATTAGATTCCGTTGGTATGGAATTTTCTTTTTATTGAAGAAGTTTGAGACTTCATTGTACAGATTCTCTGCTTTAGCCTCTTCAAGCGGCAGTAGGGCGAGGAAACTATCTTGAGTTTTGTAAGGATAATGATTATTAAACTGGGAATAAGCCACAATTAAAGATAAAAATACGTTTATTGACGTTTCAATTTCCACTTCGGAAATCGTTCTCAAAATATAATAATTCTTCAAAAAGGATAATGATTGTTAGACTTAAACTTAAAGTACCTACATTTAATGCTTGTACTAGCTTTAAGCTTCAATATTTATTTATACTTACGTACCTATTATTGTTACGGTATCGACAAACAAGACACATATGTTTTGTACATGAACGATCCGTTGACTCATCAATGATAAGTGAAAATTTGGACTGATTTAGTATTTCACAAATCTTTTGTTCACTTCTTTTTCCAATCACCTTTTTGACAAGAGAAGAGCATTTAGTGCGACCACATTTAAGTTTTTTTGCAATATCTGACTCCGGGCAAACATTTTTTACAAGTTCAGGTAAATGTTTCATTAAATTATACGACAAATTATGCTCAGTGATAAATGCTGCAATATGCAAATCTGATGTTTTCATCAGATTGATCAGTCTGTTGACTAGATACTCCTTTAAAAATTGCCATATCTTTTAAAGTACTCTGCACTTTCGTAGATTTACAATTTTGAACATGCATCGCACTATCCTGATGGCGCACTAATTCAATTCTTCCCATTGACTTAATTGAAATATCTTTGTTGCTAAGTCGGCACATTGCAAAGTATTCATTTTTGCCCTGCTTAATCCAATTTTTAAACTGTTCATCTTCAACCCACGATTTTTTAAACGTCTGATAATTTTTTTTTTCGATATGATCTACCCTCGCCTTTATAAGCTTTAAAGCTCTCGTCACTCGAACTCGAACTAAAAACAAAAAAAATTGTAAACACACAACATATATTGTTTTGAAGCTATTTTGTTGAGACATCTTAACACAATTCACCATTTTTTACTATATGGCGTTATACAATTATTGTTATTTTTAAACATATTGTTGAGAGTATATAATAATTAAATTTACTATCAAATGATATTTATTTATTATTAATATTTGTTCTGAAATTGACAGGTTTGTCATAAGTAAACAACGTATGCTTTTTACGAGCAAACAATCATGTATTGAATTTTGTTTAAATATAAAAAAAATATTTAAATAATAAAATTATTTTATTCAATTTTAAATATATTATTTAAATTTAAAAAATACAGAAAACAGTATGATGCTCCGTGCTAGTCGACACTACCGCCTAATGTTCCACTTTTTTGAGAATACGCAACAATTTTACTTTATAGTAAGTTTATTTTTTAGTTATTTATTTAAAATAAACCTAATTTAAAGTAAAATTGTGGCTTATTCCCAACAAAATTAATAAAATATTTCTAACTAATAAATTAAAACCAAAGTAATGCTTATCTCATTTAATTCTTCCCTATTAAACTCAAAACGTAGTCTAAATCTCTAAATTACAAACACCTTACACACTGCACTTGTTGGAAACAGAATTTTAATGGGAAGAGAGGGAGATGCCAGAGGATTGATCAGATGAGTAATGTATTCGAATGGAACATTCGGTATGCATTCACCCGTTGTGCCTGGCTACATTTTATAATTACATATTAGAAAGGAACAGGAACGGCCGTCCAATTTCACTTAAAAATAAAACGTCTTCAGAAAATATACAGGATCAAATGTATTTAATATTAAAAATAGTAAAAACAGTATTAAATATAAAAACACAACTAACTATAAATAATTGAAAGATATACACAAACAGAAATAAAGTTTTTAAAAACTATAATCTAGAAAATAACATATTTTAATAAATATAATATTAAGAACACATTCTACTATCCAGTCGAATTTCTAAAAAAAACTTTTATTTGTTAAAAAACAATTGTTTCATTAAATTTCAAATGAATGAATTTGTGTGTAATGACGTGGATTTTAAAACAAAATACATTTACGTGATGTATAAAAATAAAATTTTATCCAAATTTTTGGGTGATAAACGGTTTCTTCTTAGGTTTGTTAACTGCCCAGACTTTGAAAATACACTTTCGGAAGGTACTGATGTGGCAGGTATTGACAAATATTTTTTAGCCAAATAATAAAGCTCAGGGAAAGTAGATTTGCATTTTTTCCAAAATTCCATCGGGTTTTTTTTCTTTCGAAATGTGGCATTTCTAAGTATTGTCGTACAATTAAAGTGACAGTAGTGGTTGGCGTTGACAAGGATTTTGCTTTGGCCAATTTATGATCAAAATGGGACCATATATCTAATTCTTCTTTGTTGTCATCAGATACTAAAGTTTGTTGATGTTCCTGAGTTTCCGCATTACTGTTTTCATTAACAATGGCTGTTAGTTGTTCGGTTATCCATTTCTGGGCGTTATTCGCATTAGTATCATTCCCAAATGCCAATTTTTTAAATCTTGGGTCTAGAAAGACGGCTTTTGAAATTGTTTTGTCATATTCTAATATCCCTAATCGACGAGCAATTGTATCTAATTAGCTCTGTTTTAAATTTTCACAAATATCTGTGGTGGTATCCATCTTATTCAACGAAAACTGAAGACCCCTTATAAGTGGAATCACAGTTGATAAAGTTGGATATTTTTCACCCGATAAAGCGGTTGTCATTATCTCTAACGGTTTCAACAGTTTCAAACTTTCCTCAATGACGCCTCATTCACTGGCATCCAGAAATTCTGGCGCCTTATAAATTTTTGTCATGGTAATTGATAAGGCATCTTTGATAATTAATATAAGGTTGAATGTTCGAATAATTGAACTTTGATGGTATACAAGGCAAATATCGAACACAGTAATTAATTAAATCTTGCCCAAGTACTTTCGATCAATAGATCATCCTCAGGGGCATCTGAAATAAGCCAAGAAACGTTTTTTTATAAAAAAGGAAAATTAATTCACTTCGATAAAAAACTCGAAGTTTATGGTTGAAAAAAGTTTTTATGTGATAAACGTTTATAGACTTACTTCGTCAGTTGTGGCCTATCCGACATGAGCAGAATGTCATACATGTAAATTTGGACATAACAATATAATACACAAAGACAAACAAACACTTTTCCTTTAAATCACATAACACTTTAGGTGCCTTCTTAATCAATACCAAAGATAGAATGAATACACTTGATAAAAGTGGTATTTACAAATTAAAATGTGATGATTGTGATGCCTCTTATGTAGGTAGAACCATCAGACTAGTTATCCACTAGAGTCTCTGAACATTTGAAAAGACCAAACTCTTCAAGTTTTGGTCAACACTTAGTATCCAGCAACCACAATTTTAACATCAATTCTGGTTCATCTATCTTACATGACATTAGTAGAAAGAAAAACTATCTTGAGTTGGATTTATTGGAAGATTTGGAGATTACAAGGGAAACAAATGAAGGGTCCAGGGGAAGAACGGCAATAGTCCATTTGGATTTATTTCGAGAAAATTGAAAATTAAGATTTATAGACTTATTATAAAGTCAAATATAAAGAAAAATAATCAAAAATAATATTTTTAGGTAAATATTATATTTTTTATTTAAAAACGTTAAAAATAACCTTATTATAATAATAAATGAGGTAGAAAAAAAATATAATACAGACAGAGGTTCTTTTTCTCTAAAAAATTTTTCGAAACTTCTAGCGTGTTCACACCGTTTTTTCCACTCTTCATTTGAAAATGTTTGAAAAAATTCATCGCAAAAACGATCCACAGAACTAAACTTAAAGTCAACGTTTTTATCGACCACGTATTTCTTACGAGAGCCATACTAATTCTATGGGGTTGAGATCTGGATGATACGGAGGCGCCGTAGTACCGAATGACCACTATTACCCAGTATTCTGTCAATTTCATACACCTTAAATCTGGGTTTATGGATTTGTACAATGCTGTAAAGATCTACTTTTAACATATCTTCTGAAAAGGCAGATTGCGTTGTCTTGCCACTCTTTCATGACATTTTTCGTTGAACTCATATTAGGACACTTTTTAACTTGCACGTTGTGATAAGAAGCATTGTCAACAACCAGGACACTACGTGTAGGAAGATTAGGAATAAGCATTTCCTGAAGCCATTTTTTATAATTTTCGTAATTCATTTCAATGTGATAGTCACCTGTTTTTGTGTTTGATTTAAATTTCAAATAAGCATTTTTCACAAACCCGTTTTCACCACCTACATGCACTATTATCAGTCTCTGACCTTTTGAAATCGGAGCACGTAATCCCTCATTGGAATTGTCGCTCCAACTTTTCGAGTGAGTATGGGAAGAATGAATTTAGGTTTCGTCCATGTATATGATAGGACGCTTCTCTTCTCGGTATTTTTTAATATCTCGAAGAAAGTTACGTCTCAACTGTTGAATTTCCGGTTTTTCCATTAACAGTTTTTTATTATTTTTTGTTTTTCTCCAACGAAACGCTATATCCCTCATTGCTTTTCTCAATGATTTACGCGAACCATTGTAGTTGTACTCAGTGGCCAATTTTCTATGTATTCATCGTAAAGTTGGAACTTGTTTTTCTGTAGTATATAATATATATATATATATATATTATGATATATATATATAATATATATATATATATCCGGTTTTTTAGGCGTTACGCCCGTCCGGTAGGGATCTATGGAGGAGTATCACCGAGCCGCAAGCCCTTATCTCTTGCCGTACTGCTCCACCATAGGCCGATCAGAACCCAGCATATCCTAGTCTAAGCCGCAGATTCATCTAGAATTTTAAACTGCTGCGTTAGACTTTTTGTTTTCTGTACACCGAGCTGGGGCTCGACCCACATCCACTAAACCATTCGACAGTGAAGCGAATGAGAGGCAGCCGCACAGCCCGCTGAGCTATCTGACCGACTTTTTTTTTCTGTAGTACAAAAATTAATAATAAATCGACGAAGCACCCCTTTGTCGCACTCCTCCAACTTAGATTTTAAAGTCGACTTATTTTTTTTTTTTGGAGTACTAAAGCTTGATGCAGTACCATCTTCGATGCACTTCATTTCCTTCGAAATGGCTTATATGGGGGATAAACTTACACCTGTTGCTCTTACAACACGTTTTTGCACTTGTTTTAAGTCTATTAAAGGTACGTTATCCCTTGCTTCTTGTTGCATAAAATGCATAACATTTGCTATAATTTCTCGGCTTTGACCGGACAAAACTTTTCGATTTAATTTTGATTTAAATTCCATTGTACTGAGAAACACATGATAAATTTAGTGCGCATCAGGTGAGCGTGGCGATTGTACGATTTTCAAACTTCTTCCTAAATTTGACAAATAATACCAGTGGTTCGATTATTAAATTAATTCGATTATGCCCATCACTAACTAAAACCATACTAAAACTAAAATTGGTACCGAGGCTGATTTTCAAGTTGGGTGCGTTTCGGCGATTACGACTATTTCAAGCTCTGCGAACTGCTATTTTGATTCACTACGACGATGATATTGGGAACATTGTGAGTGAACGGTAATTCAGGTTCGAGCCAATTGAACCGTAATAACCGTAGACAAATATGAGTGATAAGGATATTATTTTCAAGTATTACTCTTTTATGGCAATTTTAAAAAACTTACTGTATTTTACATAATATTGTGTAGGTATTATAAAAAAAAGTGCATAATTTTCATTAACAACACTCGTATATTAATTAAAAAAATATTATGTACCGTTTTTGAAACTAAAAGTCCTAAACCTAAAAGTCTTAAAAAGATATAAATGAAAAATATTTTGGATTATGAAAACATGTAAAAAATATAAACAAGATAATATTAGATAAACATCTAAAAAAACACTAAAATAATTTTTGATTTACATTTAAAAACATTATTTTTTTAACTTTCTCTAAACTGATACGACTTCTTTTATCTGAAATAATAATTCCGGTTTTTGAAAAAACACGTTCACATTCAACTGAAGTTGAAACCGTACCAAACCTGCTTCGAACAACATGGCTTAAATTTGGAAAAACAGAAGCATTATTTGCCCCCCATTTGAGAGGATCCTCATTCCTATGTATCATTTCTTCTTCCAAATAACGGTTAACTACGATGGCACGTGCTTGCGGACTTTGATTTAATTTGGGTTGAGATGAAACTGACTTATTTAATTATTTCCATATATTAAACAATGGCTTTTCTGTTTCGAACTCTAATGTTTTGGATGTATTAGCAGATTCTACTTCCATAATTACATCTTCATTTGATGTGGAATTAGCTTTTATATTTTGAGCTACTAAACCAATAACAATTTCCTTGGCCTTATTAAAAGTTCTAGGTTTAATAAAACACACATTTTTAAATCTTTGATCTAAAAAAGTGGATACTATCACTGTAATACTAGATTCTAAATCGCCTAGTCTGAAGGTTATACTTTCTATAAGTTTTTCAATAACACATTTACTTATATCATTAGAAAATTGGTTGCTGCTCAACATATCATTGCAAACATTTTTCAATTGGTTTGTAATAACAATTACTAGTGATAATGTTACGTACTTTTCAGCGGACATCAATTCCGTTATATCATAAAACGGTTTCAAGATAATTATTAATTCTTTAATGAATGTCCACTCTTCTGTAGGTATTACCGGTAGGGAGACTGAATCCATTAATGCTAATGTGGTTCTTAGCTTCCTCCAATTCTACAAATCTTTCTAACATTAAATAAGTGGAGTTCCATCTAGTAACTACATCTTTTTTAAGTTTCTTGGGTTCCTTACCTTGCTGTCGCTGAACATTATCTAATTTGCTTTTAGCATTTTCACTTTGTTTGAAATGTGTCACAATTTTACTGACTTTATTTAATGTTACTTCTTGGATCAGTTTCAATGCATCGCCCATTATTAAATTTAGGGTATGTGCATAGCAACCAAAATGTCTCCAATTTAAGTCTGAAGAGATAGCTTTTTTAATATTTGCAGCGTTATCTGAAATACCAAGCAAAATACTCTCTTCTGATATATTCGAGTTTGAAATAACTTTACTTAGATTATCTGCTAAATTTGTACTTCCATGACCTCCCTCATACCCAACACATTCTAAAAGAACAGATTTAATTTGAAATGTATTATCAATAAACTGCCCTGTTACTGCCTATTACACTATCTGTGTTGCTAGACGTCCAGCAGTCTGTTGTAATTGTAATTGATACGACTTCCTTTAAAGCATCTGAAACTTTAAGGCGAACTTCTTCAAACACTGCTGGAAGAAGAACATTGCTTAAAGTTTTTCTTGTAGGCAATTTGTATGCGGGATTTAAAGTCAATATAAAATCTTTAAAGCCATTATCTTCGACCATGGAAAATGGTTGGAAATCTTTGATTATAAGATTCAATAAAAGCTGATCCAATTTTTTCTGTTGAGTCACTGAAATTCTCTTTAGTGCGTATGCGGACAAGACCTGCTGTTGTATTCTTCTAACCTCAGAGCGGGACGAACCAATTATGCCTGATGATGAAGTTGATGGCAATGACGAGTCAGTAATGACGATCGCAGGAATTACACCGATATCACGTGCACCTTCAATATGAGTTGAAGAACCTCCGAAGATTTGAGGATTTTTTTGTGTCAATTTAGACAATTAGCATAGTCTAACGGATGGACGTTTTCGAGTGATATGTGCTTTTAAATTTGTAATCGATGTTCTATATGAAAAAAGAGATTTGCATATGTTACATTTTGCTTTACTGTTATCTCCATCTGAGAAGAAGTTCCAAATTTCCGACTTTTTACTCACATTTTTTTAAATTCAATCTGGTTGGCAGCACCTAAATAAATATAATATAGACCTAAATATTATTAAATTCAAAATTGATTTTAGTTTACCTTTTATTAATTGTATAATATAGAATTATACGAACAACGTTTAATACTTTAAACTGAAAACTTTCGAAAAATGTATGTCCTACACTACTCACCTACTTTTCAGTATTATTTTACTGGCTGTCTTTTAGGAACATGCGGGGCATTGTTATATATTTTGTTTGGGATTCCCAGCCGGCCGCCAGCCATAAATAAATTAAAATAGTTCATTGGTATAGAGCCGGGGAATCCCAGATGCCCGCAACATTTTACTTCATTTTATACCGGAGTTCTTTTTAACTGGATTTCTTAGGTGATATTACATATTAAATAAATACTATAAATTACAACCACCATGTATTTTGTTACAATTTTTTTGTCATTTCAAATATTGTCCGTATTTAGATATATTATGTTAGCAACAATTATTATTAATATGTTCACATTAAATACCAACGAAAATGCTTTTTGAAACACAAACAAATATGATGGCTTTTCTTATATCACCATGAATGCGTTGA